AATTTTACGCCAACCTTTGAGAAGCCTCTGATGACCAGATATTTGTCCAAGGAAAAAATGCAGAGTTTACACTAGAGCGGATCAACACTCTTTACGAGCTGATAGATATACCAAACTATGATTACTCTTTATTTAATTCTACTAAGTTGTACTTGGATGAGGTTATTTCATTTCAGACCGACGAAAGAGGAGTTTAGAAAATTATAAATGACCACAAGGTGAACATCTCTGCCTCAATGTTAAAAGCACCCTCTAAGGCATGACATTATTTTGATTTCCCCATGATTTATTCCTTCCAATCATCTTAGTGAGGTTACTAAGGAGAGAGTATCCTTGAACTTTTGCATTTAACAAATGAAATCTATAAATATTGGCTCTCAGATTTATCAGAATATCCTCATTTCTTCTAAAGGTGGAACCACTGGAGGTTTAGGATACCCTTTCCTGATTTTTACTTTATGAAAGAAATCAAGAGTAGGATATGAGAGATGAGAAGAGCTACTATAACCTCTTAAACTCATTACCAGGACCAATGTGCATGTATACAAGCTACATGTTGGATTGAGGTCAAGGGGAGGAAGTTCAGATATTCCTTTTACCTCTACTTTAATACCATATACCTTAGGTATTGTTGCTTACCTTTCAACCACTCTGGATGAACTTCATAATGATTATCAGGCTTTGGTGCATGATATTGCATATATATAAGATAAAGTGACTGATATTGATAAAAAGTTTGATCATGTTCAGGGTTATTTGAAACTTAAACATGATTAGTTACTCCAAAACCGTAGCCACCATGAATATTTCTGAAATCTTCTACCACTCTACCGACATGTCCATTTAAATCTCCTCCAATAAAAATTCTTTCTTCAAGAGGTATCATTTGTATTAAGTCTTCTAAGTCATTCCAAAATTTATCTTTAGACTCTGTATCTAAACCTACTTGAGGAGCATAAACACTTATAATATTAAAAATCTTAGTATCAATGATAATCTTAAGGGCTATAATTCTATCACCAACTCTATTAATTTTTACAACATTATCTTTCAAACTCTTATCTATAATTACACCTACACCATTTCTAGTGCGACTCTTACCAGAATACCAAAGTTTAAAACCTAAATTATCAATCTCCTTAGCCTTTTCTCCCACCCACTTAGTTTCTTGAATACATAAGATATTAATTTTCCTATGAATCATAATATCAACTAATTCCATTAATTTACCATTGAGAGTGCCGATATTCCAAGATCCTATCCTAATATTAGTTTCATGGACTAACTTCTTTACCCGCATTTGCCCGTAATGTGGGAACCCTTGCTTATTTAACACTACACCTGGGCGCCGGTGTAGCGGCCCTTGCACATTTTTCACTGTATTCAGACTATACAACGCGTCGCTTCCAGGGGACGCCCTAGCACTTACACAATGATCAAAAGGATTCATGTCATGATTTTTTCGACAAGTTTTACGCTGGCTGTCGACTACCTAACGCAACCCTCCACTTTTCTCATCCGGGCTTGGGACCGGCAACGACAGTGTTTAAATTTCAATTATGTTCGAATTAAATAAAAAATAAGTATTCCAAAATTTAATACTAAATATTCTGAGACCTTAGATATCATCCACTTTACTAAAATTTTTTTTTCTAAGTTGGACAATTACAATTCTAAAAAAAAAATTGAGACTGAGTTAGAGCATAGCCCAAATCTAGCAAGCCAATCTGCAGGTTTGTTTGCTTCCTTATAATTGAAAGTAAAATGAACATTAAGATGAGAGCTAAGTAATCTGATCTTCTGAATCCATTATGATGCCAGAGGTACTGCTCCTTAAGCTCCAATAATCTAATCAACACTATTGAGTCCACCTCAACCTATAGTTGTAACCAATTAGCCTTAACAACATGGTTCATGGCCCAAAGGGCTGCTATAAGCTCAGCCTCAAGTGCATTAGTAGCCAAAACTAGGGCATGAAAATATAAGAGACAGTGACCAAAGTAGTTCCTATAAACCCCTCCCGCATCAGCACCCAGATCAGTAAAGCTACCATCAGTGTTTAATTTAACAGTAAGAGGCTTTGAAGGTCTCCAATACACTTTATAAATCAGGGGAGATGCCACTCTCTCAGTGTGATAGGAAATACAAATATTAGGAAATCTTTTATATTTGATCATTTTGCAGACGAAAAGTCACTTGAGGACAAATAATAGTTAAGTTTTGGGGATTTTGACATGTCTACAAAATTACTACTTTTATCTGCACCTTTAATGCTAATTTTTAGTGATATTTCCCTTTAATGGAAGGTATTTCTATATTTTTGTTGCAGGTACAATAAGTTGGGGAATTGGAGCTAAAAGAAGCAAAAAGGAAGAAATTTGAAGTAAAAAAGAGGTCATTTGTAAGAGTTGACATGGCGCTTAAGCGCCAGGATTTGGTGCCTAAGCGCCAGTTTACATAGAAGGTGACACCTAGGCGCTACAGTTAGGCGCCTAAGGGCCAGAAACGGTTTCTTCAAAAAATCATTGAATTGGACGAATTTTGAAAGGGTACCACAGGTGACTCTTAAAAATTTGGCTCTATACTATATAATAGTGATTTTATTATAGAAAGAAGGGCAACAAAGGAGGAGAAGAGGAGAGTAAGTGGAGAAGTGTAAAAGAGAAGACTGTCTCTTAGAGTTGTAAGTGAGAGATTTCTTCTTCATTATATTTCTAAGAGAGAATTGAGTTTGAAGGAGAGAAAGTAATTCAAAGGAACTTCAAAGGACTTGCTTGAGGAAGAGATTGAGATAATTAGTTTGTACTTTACTTATTTTTGTTGTGTAAACTTGTTTTTATATTTAAATCCATATTTTGTTGTATCTTCCTCATGAGATCCGAGTAACTTGCTTTCTCTTTCTCGCTGCAATGAGAAATAATCATGTGAAGAATTGAAGTTGTTTAGAAGTGCTTTAATTTCATAATTGTAATGATTCAAACTTCTAACTTCATTTACTTAATCAATCAGGCCAATTGTTAAGTTAAAATCTGTTGTGAAACATATGATCCGAAAGGGCTATGCTTTCCTAACTAAGTAAGAATCACATTTGATCTCATGGATGAGAATGTAGTCCATGTGGTTAAGTGCAAAAAAATAGGGAAAACGAGTTTTGATGGATGTTGATTGGTAATTCTAGAGTGACAAGCTAGAACCTCCAATTTGATTTAGAAGTTAAGAACCTAAGGCTAGATGTTAGCCTCCAGGGGGAGGGATAGTGGGAACTCTAGAGTGAGAGGTATAATATTCCCAACTTAACCAAGGATTTAGAAACTTGAATCTGGATTAGCAAATGTTCTTTATGCACTTGTAAGAGGGTAAAAAATATGTGTGCTCCTATTTGGCGCAATATAATTTAATACAATTTGAATTATTCTCTGATTATAAAATCAGTGTAAGGGGAATGATACTTTCTAAAATTTGAACTCTTCTTCATAAAACTAAATTTAGTGATAGTAAGAATTTACTTTGAGTTTAGACATAAGAGTAGTAGATATAATTTACTTAGATTAAAAACATAAAACTTGACTTGCATTCCTAGTTAAGTTTCCTGCTGTTTAGACAGAGTTTCTTTGAGTTAAGATTATAAGAATTCCAAACTTTCATCTGGGATCGATACTTAAGACTCCATTAGAGCCCTATATTACTTGTGTGATACGTATACTTGCGTTACCATTCTAAAGAATATTTAAAATTGATAAATAAAACCTTAAATCGCTAGGAGTGACAACTATAAAAATTTAAAGAAATACTAACTATTATGAAGTATATTATTGTTAAGGCTGTCGCGCATCATTGACAAACTATGGATATCATGACTTATATTTCTATTTCTTATTTTTTTTGAAATAACTATAAGACGAGCATAGAGAGATTCACGAGGATCGCTCTACAGGCTTTTTTCGGGGGACCTCACTCTGTGACTCTCACGGTACCTTTCTTGTTCGCTCTTCTACTTAGACCATCTTCTTAACTATGTCGGAAGGAGATACAAAATAAAACGTATAATTCAGGCATGACAATAGATCCATCCTCTTCCTTCACCTTTTTTACACAGGTCTCTTCCAATTCGTGTGAACCCACAAACAATAAGGGACCCAACATTCTAAAAGGATTTAACATTCTAATTGTCAAAATGGTGTCTATAAAACTCTTAGAAGTCACCATTAGTGTGATTATTTCTTTGGCAATCTTTCATTCCTATGACGAAAACCACCATCTTCAGATCAACTTCAACAACACCGCACTCACTTGGTGGAAGAATATGTTTTTGAGCATGTTTTTTTTTCCTTCAAGTAGTTCACTTTTTGGATTGTGTATTAATCACCCTAGATCACACGTAATTTTCATCTATGAAAATGGGTTGTTGGATGTATTAAACTATAAGAAATATAGGCCAAATCCTATGCTTTTAGGCAAGATATTATCCCACTATAATCTCTCAAATTTTCAAACTCTGGGCTAATGCTTAATTTGATTTAGTTCATTCTTTTATTTATCTAAGGGTGTTCTAACCTCTTAAAAAATTAATATTACTAAATATAACCTTTGCACTAAAAGGGGTTGATTGAGATCACTTTTTGTTATAATTTTTTATTATTTTTACTTGAAATAAATTATATTTGATTTGTTTTAATTTAAAAATAGTTAAAATAATTTTTAGATATTTGGAGTGTTTAAAAAATAAATTATTTCCTTAAATAAAAAAAATAAGAAAAATATAAAAAATGTACTAAATAAGCATCTATATTTAAAATAAAAGTGCAAAAAAAAGAAAAAAATCGAAAGAAGTCGTGCATCTACAAATTCGTTTTTTATGAGCAATATTAACGAATAAAAAATTAAAATTTATAAGGAACCAATTTTGGTTGTTCATAGTTAATATAATAAAGTATTAAAATTGTCTTCATTAATTTACACGAGGTTCATAACTAAAGGGTTATAACACTCACATGGTTCCCGGACTACTTTGACACTGTAAATTCAAGTACGCTTCAGCGGTACTCCGGTAGTATTCCACTGGACACATGACGGTTCTTTACGCTATATTTTTCGTTCACCCTTGTCTCTGATGGGGTTTGCAAAGGCTTCTCCAGCTTCTCAATGCGCCGATCTTCGATCCGCGTACCATGACTGCTTTAATAGGTTTCGCTTCCCCACCTTTATCTTTTTAGTATTCTTCATCCGTTTCTCTTTCTTATGTTTGCAATGAGTTCATTTGTGAGTTGCAGGTGGTTTTCGGACAAGTTTTCCAAGGGCCAGAACGACAAAGAGGAGTGCGTCGCCGAGTGGGAAAAGTACAGGGCCTGCCTTGTGGTGATTAACAGGGTCCCAATTCTTGTTTTCTATTAATTCTCCAATTTGTTGCCTTTACCTGGTAAAAAAAAAGCTTCTCGTTCTTGTTTACTTGCTAGATAAGAAACCTATAGGTTAATGCTACTTGTAATCCTTTCCTGTTAGGTATCCCCTTTTATGTGGTAGCAATGGATAAGGTTTTATGTGAAATTACCTCATGGGGTTTTAGCATCGAATCTTTGTGAACTTTAGTAATTCATTCTGATCAAATCAGCTTACTGAATTATGAAAGCAAAATTTTCACTATTCATCTAACCGGAGGCACGGGATTATTGGAAGGGATCAACTATTGATGACTCGGTCAGGTTCTAAAGTTTATTTTCTCAACATTGAAATCATAGGGAGTTCAGTGGGATGGATTCATGCTTGAAACTGTGTATTCAAAAAAAAAAAAATGCTGGAAATTGTTTGAGGTGTTTTGAATACTTAGTTATGAACAAGCGTTTGATGCTATTTTTTTTTTCATATTTCGAGTTGATGAATTTGTTTGAGTGTTGACTCCTCATCAACTTCTGGTTTTGAAGCGGTTACTTCTTGCTTTTTTGATATAAATATTTGTGCTCTTTAAAATTCAAGTTTGAGCTTTTCTAGGATGCTTAACTTAATTGTAACAAAATTATTAGGATAGGTTTGAGAATTGAGTGGAACATTGATTGGAAGCACAATGACATTGTTTTTTCTTTCTTCAAAAAATTTGATAGAATTTATTAGTTATTTAGTGTCCTTTTTTAGGTTTAATCTAGAATTAAAATACAATAATAATAAAAAAAAACAACAACAACAAGTTTTTATTTTACCAAGTGGGGTTGGCTGCATGAATCCTTTTTTTCCATTGTGTTCTATTGACTGTCATGTTTTAATTTAATTCTAGTATGTTAAGATCCTTTTTTATACAACATGTCGTAGTTTTTTCAGGTCTACCTCTAACTTTGTTATCATAAGTTAAATCTAAAACATTTACACTCCTAACAGGGCCATCAAATAGTTGTCCTTCAATTTGAACAAATCATCTAAGGCGACTCTCTCTAATCTTGTCTGCCCCTGTAGCTACTCCAACCCTTTCTCGGATATATTTGTTTCTCATTTTGTCTCTAAGTGTAAAAGCACTCATCTACCTGAGCATTCTCATCTTAGCAACACTTATTTAATTTTGTGCTTCTCTTTTCCATGCAAACATGTTGTGCCATAAAGCATTGCATGTCTCACCATCATAATATACAATTTTTTTTATAAGACTACGCGGTACTTTTCTATCACACAATAAACCCGATACATTCTTCCACTTCAACCATCCAACATGAATTCTACTAATAACGTCCCCATTTATATCACCACTACTTTGAACAATAGTCCTGAGAAATCTAAATCGTTCACTCATTTTAATGACTTGATCACGCATTGTTACAACTCGACCAATAGATTTGTTATTACCAAAATTGCATTCCATGTATCTGGTTTTAGATAACTCAAAAAAATGACTTTTGACTCTAAAGTTGACCTCCATAGTTCAGTTTTTTTTCTGAATTTTCTCTAGAGTCTTATCCACAAGAAGGATATCATCAGCGAAAAACATACACCAAGGGATATCATCACCTTCAAAATTCTCGTTGCACGTGTCTGCTTATGGGATCCTATTGCCACAACTTTTTGTTCTCGCTTGTAGATTAGTTCACCGACACGGTCATCTTGATTTTTATTCTTGTCGCGGTCGCCTCCTTCATTCTCGTGTGTGGAGCAATTTGACGACACGCTCGTCCAGATCCCTTTTGCACAGACACACATTACTCTTTCGGTGCAAGCCTATTCCAGTGCTCATGCTGCTTTCTTCCGTTGGATTAAAGTCCCAAAGATCTCTTGTGTTTGAGTTCTGTCCACTCCACCGATTCTCCTTGATAGAACTTGGATTATTCCTTGCAAGCCCTTTCAGATTTCTCCATGCCCTCATATGCGCTTTAGGCAGCCGGATTTCTCTCTGTCGAAAGCTAAGCTTTTCCATGTAGTCTTCCTTGTATGCGTCCTTGCTGGATCTCTCCTTGCAGCCTTTTGCTGTCTTTTAGTTGCTTCCTCTTGCCACTGGAATTCCTCCAACAACAGCTAGAAATCTTCTCAGTCGGCTTGCTGGACCTGACCCGATTTTCCCTTCAAATAGATCTCTTGCAGCATGCCTTTTTCTGTATTCGTTTGATGCCGAAACTTCTTGTACTTGGAATTCCCCTACTGCGTACTGTCTTTGGCTGAAATCTTATTGCAGTTCTCTGCAAACTGAAACCAAGTTTACAACTGCAACCAAAATTCTGCGACAGTAGCCAATCTTTTGTACAACAACAACAACCTAATTACACATAAAGTTTATTATCAAGTTCAGGATGAATATTTCAAGCTCAACTCTGGAGGTCAGTTATGAACTATGGATTAAGGAACAATTTGAAGTACTAGAAAAAATCTTAGAAGGTAATTCAAAACAACACATCAACCTTGTGACACGTTACGATAATGTATCATTCTCTTCTTTTGCCAATAATGAAAGATTTAGAACTTGGATCATAGATTAAGGAGCTTCTGATCATATGTTTGAAGATTTTAATGTTCTATTCAACTATCAAGTGACTTTTACATCTAGATCAACCATATTTGCAGATGGATCATAATAAAAAATTACTAGAAAAGATGTGGAGCTCTTTCAGGATCGCTCATTCATCTATTTTATATGTTTCACAGCTGGACCTTAATTTGATTTATATCAGTAAGCTAATATTATATGTATAACTAAATAAGAAATCCTTGTAATCTCGATGAACTATTTTTCTCATAAGAAAATAATCAATTTATATTTTATTACATCCATTCTTATAAGTGATAATATGCTCATCACTTTTCTTAAAGAACGGTGTTGCTTGCACCATGAATAAATTACATGAAGGAAATGCGTTGGATGCAAGCAGTGGCATCTCTAGGATCTTTTGGTTGAGGATTGAAAGGACTCATCGAGAAAAAGAGTTCTAATTGGGATTTGAGGTCAATAACAAAGCTGTGGTAGAAATAAACCTAATTGTGAATGAAATCGTTATGATCAATAAATTCTCTTTCCTTACATCCATATAAACCTTCATTTTTTGGAAGTTAAAGGGCTTTAGTTGTACCCATCAATGACAATGTATATCACCCCAATAATTGCGGGATTCTCAAAACCTTAAAGATAGATGTCTTTGCATGCGTTGGTTATGATGTATCCGTAGAGAACTTTTTGTCATGAAATTGCAAATGCACTGTTGTTCGATCTGCAAATATATCATATTATACATATGAAACAATTCGGGGTCAATAGATTCATTCACATGACTTAGGCTGTTTTTTGATGAAACACATCACTTTAAAAGTGCAAAGCCATACTTATATTGTGTTCATTTTTACTTATATTATTTTCTTTTAATGAATATGATTGGCATGTTAAAATGCTTGGTGTTGGATTGAACCTACTTTCCTTATGAAAAGGCCCTCGATTGCCCATCGTTAGTGTACGATCCAAGTTTCTTTATTTTATTCTCTTCCCGATTCAAAGAGGAGAATCTCAAAAATACACTTTCATTTTCTTCCCTTTTGCTATCATTGCCACCTTCCCAATTGCACTTGCCTTTTTTCCTTCGTTCAATGACACCGCCTCTCACGACTTCTTAGGGAAGATCGATGCCGAAGTCTAAGGCATCACTTCCCTCTCCTTCGCCTCCTATAGCCATCGAAACCCTTGGCACGCCCTTCCTCCCTCTCGCCTGCCTTAGTGATCGAACCCTTGCGATACATTAACGACTAGCCACGAAGACAACAGCTGGATCATGGCATTCAAAGACCCCCGAAGCTTCTATATTTCTCCTCCTTTGAGGAGCCCTTGTGATACAACAATGATTAGCACTAGTTGAGAAGGCAACAACAGGATTGTAGCATGCACATAGTCCGAAATCTTATCTATCTCTTCCAACTTCACAAACATCACAGTCCCTCTCTTCCCCACCTTTTTCTTGCTTCAACCCCACGACTACACCTTCCTCCTCTCAGAGCCCTAATCTGGCCTCCTTGATCTTTTTGCCTAGACTGAAACCTAGGGCATCTGATTTTCTCTTTCTCGATGATCTGATAACTGTCAATTTTTCCTCCTTAATCTCTTTGGTATATTATTCTCATTCACATATGATAGTTGTTATTCAATTGCTTCCTTTAAAATTGTAATAATAATTGAAAATAGAAGTATTTATCTAATAGTAAGAAGAAGAATAATAATAATCATAATAAGATTAATATTGTAGATCAATTAGGTTGCACTAACTCATGAAATAATTAGTTTAATAACTATATACTTGCATAGTTGTTGACATTTGTAAGTTAAATTGTGTAGGATCTACTAGGTGTTGGCCGATCAACAAAAAATTTTTAATAAGTTTTATTTTCCATGCTAATGTAAGTAACGACTCTTTTTTATAGGATAAATGTACCTTACTTGGTTAGGGATGTTATCCTTGCTACTTTTATTAGATTTCTAATTAATTCTAAGTTTGTCAATCGTATCGTTTAAATTCTGTTACTATAACTGTAGTGGATTTTATTTATTATTCATAATTAGTTGTATAAGTAAATATTCTTATATTATTACTGTATAGACTCCTGCTTAATTACTTGTCTCATATTTTCAACATTTATTATTTCATTTATAGTCTTGATGTGTTAAATCGTATTGTTGCAAAATCATAATTATTTATATACATTGATGGACATGTTGTGGTTATATAACCGTGCTTGCTTTGTGATGTATGAAATATAAATTATATTATAATATTATTATATCAGTATTAAACCTTTTTGATATGGTTAGACGAACTTATGTCTTCAGATAAATCATCGCATTTTCATGGAATTTGTGCCTCCTTGTTTCAGTGTGTTGTAGAAAATCGGTTATATAAATGTAATTATATATATACTCCTATTACACTTGTAATTGTCAGATAATGTTAGAAGATTGTTAAACTCTATATATATAAACACACTTGATATGATAATATATAAATATTCATATAAAGTGTATGTGTTCAAGTCACTCTTATTTATTGTATGCTTTAATAAGTAACTATTTTTACTTGTTTATTTTTAAAATTCACTCGTTGATATTTTTGCATAACAATTTTTATTTAACCACTAGCAAGACTGTCTTCATCGGAGCAGATTTTTCAGTTTTATATTTTCAGTTTTTTATTTTTTTCAATATTTATTTCAGTTATTTTATTTTCTTTTTTGTGTTTATATAATCAGTCATTGTCAT